TGTTCTCCATCTGAATGTCTTCTTCGGTGAAATGTCTGTTCATTTCCTGTGCCCATTTTGCAACTTGGTTGTTTACTTTTATCTTGTTGTGGTGCTACACTAACATTTCTAAATTGAGATTTTAATTCCTTAATCCAAACATGTTGTTGTTATGTGCTGGTGAGTCAGAACCAACTTCCAGCGGCTTTGCAGAGGCTGTAAAGTACACTGGAAGAACGTCTTTCTACCTTGGAGCAATGAGTTGATTCAAATTGACTGCCTTTGGGTTGGCAATACAATTCCATACCCACTAGGCCACCAGCTATATTCTAATTTGACATTATTATCACAAAGGAGGGCTAAAATACAAATTCTGAGTTCTCTTTTAATATCGGTTCTACTTCCCCTGCCAAGGGGGGATAAAGAAAGAATAGATTTAAGAACTTAAAAGCTTATTGAAATAACTTTCAAGATTTAACATAAAAGAGGTAGATTTCTTCCTTTGTTAAAAACCAATATATTGCAGTCTCTTGAAATCCAAGTACAGTTCATTTCCATATGCTCAGACTGCTCCATACCATATACCCTAATATATAACATATTCAGAAATGTTCCCTAATAAACTATATACAAAGAAATCATTAAGCACTATAACAACCTCCTTGAGAAACTAGAAGCAGAAATACTGTGAGCAATTCCACTCTAAGGTACATATATCAAGGAAATCAAAAGCTATGACACAGACAGTTATAAGCACACTTTAGCTCAGTATAGCATTATTCACAATACCAAAACACAGAAAGAACCCAAGTACCTATAAAAAGATAGATGGCTAAATTGAGGCATATACATACAATGGAATATGAGGAAACATGAAATGCATGTAGCATGGACACATCAAGAGGACATTATGCCAGGTGAAATAAGTCAACAAAAGGACAAGAATTGCACGAAACCACTATTACAAGAAATTGAGAATAGGTTTACATACAGAAAGAAACATTCCACGATGGTTATGAGGGATTGGGAAAGGGGACAATCACCAACTATGCAGTTGCTGTTAGATGCCATCGAGCCAAGTACGACTCACAACGACCCTATGATCAACACATATGAATCCTGTCCTGTTCTGTGCCCTCCTCACAACCTCTGACACACTTGAGCTCACTACTGCAGTTAATCTATCTCATAGAGAGTCTTCCTCTCTTTTGCCATCCCTCCACCTTCCCAAACATGACGCTCCTCTCTAAGGAATAGCCTCTCCTAGCAATAGGCCTAAAGTATGTGAGGTGAAGCTTTATCCTCTTCACATCCAGTAAACAAGTATGCATTACAGTGAAGGGAAAGGCACTACGAGAAACATCAGCACAACATGACCAAGGCCAAGAAAGACACTGAGAAGTATGTAAGAATAAAGGACAATTACTTAAGCACTTTACACAATCAACAACAGTAATAATATAAATTATGAGCCAATACATACATAAATATGTAACCGAACAGAGGAACGTTGTATGGAAGTACACCACATACACATATAAGTATGGTTGCAGATATTTCTACATACAGATTTGGAAAGGCTGTGTGTGTGTGTGTGTGTGTGTGTGTGTGCAAGCGCACGCACATATACATTATAAAAATAAAATATCTTTTGAACATAACCCATTGCCATTGAATTGAAATCAACTGAAAGCTGACACACACGAAGTTTTCAGAGACTGTAAATAGCATGGAAGGTGATTTTCCATCATTTTCCTATTGGGTTAGCAGCACAACACTCTACAGATCATGCCACCAGAGCTTTTCCTGCTTGGACCAAAGAAAAAATATGAAAACCTAAGACTAACGACTAACACAGCAACTATTCCAAAGAGCTAATGACCCACAAGAATCACAGCCTCCTCTAGCCTAAGACAGAACTACATGGTAGCTGATTATCACCACCAACTGCTCTGACCAGGACTATGATAAACGGTTCTAATTAAGAGTATATGGAAAAAATGTAGGGAACATAACCAGTCCAAAACGTAGTGGTGTTGAGAAAAACTAAAGGGGCCCCAGGGTCTATCTTCCTAAGACATTCTTCTAACTTGAAAGTGAGCAAACTCTGAGCCGCCACCTTTCTCAATCACTTAATAGACAAACTTATAAAACAAGTAATACTTGAAAAAGATGTGCTCCTTAAAACAATCAACCATATGAGAAACAAAAGCATGTATCCAAAACCAAAGATGAAAAGGCAGAGAAAGCAGACGATTAGAAATTAATAACCCAACTAGGAAAAGGAAGGGCTGCAGATCCATACTGTAGAGACTGCCAGCAATGTCAGGGAACAATACGTGGGTGAATTATTGACTGAAGGAGTAATTTAGTATGTAAACTTTTTTTGGAAGTATGTAAACTTTTACGTAGACACAAAATGTTAAAAAACCAAACTGTGACGACATATGTTATATCAAATATGCATTCACTTAAAAATATTATAGCACCAGATAGCATGGTCCAGTACTTTGTTGGCCTGCTTATCAAAGTTGAGATTTTCAAATTCACCAGTCGCACTGAAGAAAGATCAGATTCATTCATAAAGATTTGTAGCCTCAGAAACCCAAATGACTTAGTGACAGTTGTTTTGTTGTTTTTAGGAGGAAATACACACCTAGACAAATAACAAACATCTCCCATAGTCTGTAGTATCCAAGTTAGACTGAAATTAAAAACTGAGTATAGCTAGGGAGCTCTGGTGGCCTAGTGGCAAAAACTGTGCCATAATCCTGAAGGCACATGCTTCAAATCCACCAGCTACTCAACGGGAGAAAAATGGGCAATCTTCTCCTATGAGATTAACTTCCTCTGAAAACCCACTGGAAGGTCAGCTATGGGTCAATTCTGACTCAATGGTACACAACAACATAAATTGCTAAAGTGAAGACAATAATAAATAAAATACAAATGTAACAAAGTAATCAAATACATAAAAGAAAATACTGCATTAATAAGAAAAATCCATTTTCCATTTTAGTGATTAATTCTGAATTCTTCCTTTCAATATTTTCAATTAAGAAATTAAAGACAGGCATGTAAAACTAAAACACTGTGACCATTATTTTGTATAAAATATTGTTAGAAGTCTAAACACAAAATGCTTATGGTTGAAAAGCAAATGTGTAAATATTAAGTATCATCTGAAAAGTATCTGATTCTATATTTTACTGTTTTAGGAAAATAAAGGCTATTTTTGTAACTCAGACTGAATAAGGATGTCCAAACTCAAATCAAAACATACCAAGAATTATGAATAAACTCACTAGTAAGACTGATTTTGCTATACAAAGAGTGTTATTATAGTTGTTAGTATAACTGATCAAAACCACACAATTATTAAAAAAAGATCTTTATGTTACTAAAAAACAACTGAAGGAAAAAAATAATTGGCTAATTCCACTTGGTCCTTAGTCTTGTAGTTAGATTGTGCCAAATAAACATAAAAAGGTAACCATGAGCACTGTTTGAGTAATATATGATTTAAGGTAAGATATGATCTCTCCTTTCCTCATCTATAATCAGTTGTCAATATTTCCTCATACAAAAAGATAGTAAAGGTAAAGCACTGGACTGGTAGCTGTTATAAACCACTCAAATTATAGTAACTGTTACCTATAGAGAAGCACACAGTGGCATACAGAAAGAGAGGGTGGGAATGTGTGTGTGTGTGTGTGTGTGTGTGTGTGTGTGTGTGAAGCACCTCACAATGACTGCCAGCTCTCTGTGTGTGTGTGTGTGTGTGTATGTGTGTGTGTGAAGTACCTCACAATGACTGCCAGCACACCTCATGCCCAGATCTGATTCCTAAACAACTTCTCCTAATGAAAGAATCAGCAGAGAAGAGGCTGCTTCCATTGTTGCAACAGAGCGAATACAAAGTAAGCTTAGGGCATCTTATGAAGTCAGATAATCAGAGAGTGCTCAACCAAAGATGTGGGGGGCTTGATAAAAAGACACAGAAGTGAGGTCCTAACAGCCAGTGGTGGGACTATCTGAGCAACAAAATGTGACTGCACAGATAAAAACCCATATAATAAAGCTACTATCAAAGAGATTATACTGATATAAATAAAAGAAATGGGAGGAAAAAAAGGCAATGTTTCCTTCCTTACCAAAAAAATTGTACTAATAATCACCATTAAGCACACATGACACTAAGTTGTTGGAGACAAGGCCTACTGACAAGGTATTAAAATTAGTTGATGAAAGATACAGGGGGGAAATAGAGCATTTATTAATTATGATAAGGAGGAAAAGTAATTGCATGTACTAAGGTAAAGCTTGAAAACAAGGTTTACCAGTAATAAGATATTCTAATGGCAAGACTCATACCCCCATCCCATGATAGCATAAGAGGACATAATACTATTGTTTTTTTCTTTCTAAAAATGAATAATCTAATAAAAAATGTGAGGAAATATCAGATAAGCCTGAACTGAGGGATATTCCAGCACAAAATAAAACTTTCTTCAAAAGTGTAAAAGGCTGTAAGAGACAAGAAAAAACTAAGGTAATGTCACAGGCTGGAGAACTCTAAGGAAGAGATAACTAAATATAGCATGGGTTCCTAAATTGAATTCTTAAACAGAAGAAAGGTATTTGCAGGAAAATTTGTAAAACTCAAGCCAGGTGTGCACTTTAGTTTTTTTATAGTAATGTATTGCACTAATGTTAACCCATGGTTTATTACTAATTATGTAAGACAGTAACAACAGTGGAAACTAGGTGATGTGTATACACAACTCTCAGTACTATTTTTATTTCTTTAGGGCTGAACTTATTTCAAAGTAAAATTTCTTTCAAACTTTTTTAAATATATGGTATTCATACTTAGCTAAGCAATATATAATAGCCATTTTATTTTGCTTAAAAAATCTTTTCATTACACTAAAACGCTGTGTAATTACTGAAGCAAGTATGTATTATACTTAACAAAGGTAACACCAAAAAAATGCAATCAATCCAAGGTATCTCATTACCTGTAATTTTATATCCATAAGCAGCAAGCTGTCCGGCCATATATTCTCCATCTGAATTATTATGTGAACAGCCCCATGTTCGTATCCAAATTTTCTGTATGCCTGGAATAGTGCTGTTAAAGAATCATTTTTTAAAAAGAATGAGTCTCATTAAATGACTTTTAAAAATGAAAATCACTAGTTAATTTCAGGGCACATTAAGCAAAAAAGATACTCAAAGTAATTCATTCATGAATTATTCAGTAAATGCACATACTTAATCTATATAAACTAATATTAGATTAAACATCCAAAATCAAGATAAATAACATCAGAATTCTAATACTCTGTATATTTAAAAAGCAGAACAAAACGCTCCTTCTCTCTTAATCACATTTAGGCTCCGTTTTGTACACAGAAGTCAGAGCTAACACTACAGCATCTAAAAACTAACAAACTACTAAGTTCAACAATTAGAAAGGTATAAATAAAAACAGCAGAGGAAATTATTTTGGTAGCAAAACAGAGAAAGAGCAATTAAGCTCACACCTTCAGAAACAAACTCCTATAGACCAAGAGTAGACTTTATCGACTTTAAGCTTTACAGGTATCAATAACTTCATCAAATGAGAAACTACTACTCTAAGAACTCCTACAGAAGCAGAAAAAAGTAGATTTCTAAAAAAATAATAGTTTTGGGGGTGAAAAACTTTCAACCTGAACTGTTCTAATAATTAAATAAATAGAAATTACTGAAGAGTATGTCCAGGACAAATCTAGTAAAATTATAATCATTACCAAAAAAAATTATAATCATTAAAATATAAGCACATTTTAATTTCATATATTTTTAATATTTAATCTTCCACACAAAATAATCAAGAGTACTATCATGTAGAACAATGCACTAAAAAATATAGTCTATTAAAACTATACAACTACATAACTCTTTATGGAGAGGTTAAAGTCTCATCAAATTGTAAAAACCCACAACGGCAATAATGTTGTGGTATCCAGTACCTTATGGTACAATGACTCTGTATACTCTTTACCATCTTCTTTTAATACTTCTTGGGTCATTTAGTACTCTGCCCAAAGCATCCTTAAGTATAGCAAGGTTTGAATTTGTTCTTCAATTCCTTGAGCTTAAGAAATGCTGAGCAAGTTCAGCCCCTTTGATTTTCTGACTCCAGCTCTTTGCACACTTCATCAGAATACTTTACTTCGTCTTCCCGCACCACCCTTTGAAACCTTCTATTCAGCTCCCTAATATTTAGTTTTCTTTCCTTTGCTTTGGCTTCTAGGTGCTCTAGTGCAATACTCAAGAGTCTCTTCTGATATCCATTTTAGTCCTTTTTTCCTCCTCTGTCTTTGTAATGACCTTTTGCACTCTTCCTGGATTATATTCTTGATATCCTCCCATAACTCATCTGGTCTTCCCTCATTAGTGTTCAACTCAAGGCCTCAAACCTGTTCCTGAGATAGTTTTGAAATTCAGGCGGGACAGACTCAAAGTCTTATTTTAGTTTCTGTGTTAATTTTCCTTAGCTTCAGCTTGAACTTGCATATGAGTGGTCTATTCTACAATAAGCACCTGGCCTAGTTTACACAGCTGATACTGAACAGCTCCAGCAGTTCTTCAACAGATGTAATCAATCAGATTCCTATGCATACAATCAGGTGAAATCCATGTGTATGGCCTGTGTTTATGTTTATTATAAAATGTATTTGCAATGAATAAATTATTGTGCAAAATTCTATCATCCTATCTCCAGCTTCATTTCTGTCACCAAGCTCATGTCTTCCAACTACTGACCCTTCTTCTCTGCTTCCAACTTTTGCATTCCAGTAACCCATTATTATTAATGCATCTTGACTGCATGTTCGATCGATCTCTGACTGCAAAAGCTGGTAGAAAGCTGTGGCATCAGGTTGGAGGAAGACTCATCAACAATCTGCGTTATGCAGATGACACAACCCTGCCTGCTTAAACTGAGGAAGATCTGAAGTGCTTGAGGTGGAAGGTCAGGGACTGGAGCCTTCAGTATGGATTGAGGCTCAATATCCAGAAAACAAAGATTCTCACCATTCGGCCAACTGGCAGCATCATAATGAATGGTGAAGAGCTTGAGATTGTTCACAGTTTTAGTTTGCTTGGCTCCACAATCAACACTCTTGGCACCAGCCAGGAAATTAAATGGGAAAGCCTGCTGTTAGGGACTTCTCCAAAACACTAAAGAGCAATGGTGTCTCTCTGGCGACAAAACAGACTCATCCTGGAAAGGGGTAAATCGGGGGGCTCCTTGGAGGCAAGGACTCTGAGGCTTCGTCTAACATACTTTGGGCATGTTTTAAGGAGACACTGGTCCTTGGAAAGGGACATCATGCTTGGTAGTGTGGAAGGACAGCACAGAAGGCGAAGGCCCTCTATGAGGTGGATTGATTTCAGTGACTGGGGTAATCGGAATGGGTGTATTGGAGATGGTGCGACTGGCACAGGACAGAGCAGAGTTTAGGGCTGTTGTACATAGGGTCACTATAAGTCGCAAACGACATGATGGCACATAACAACAACAACAACTGTGCTGGGAAAGTCAGAGACCTCTCCAAAGTCCTGAAGTGTAACGATGTAAGTCTGCACACTAAAGTGCACCTGATACAGGCCATGGTGATTGCAATCACTTATTATGCATCAGAGAGCAGGACAATAAATAGGGATCATGGAGAATTGATGCTTTTGAGCTGTGGTACTGAAGAAGAGTATTGAATACCATGGACTGCTAAACAGGTTCATCATGGAGAGGGTTAAACAGGCTGCTCCTTGGAGGCAAGGATTCTGAGGACTCATCTAACATCCTTGGAGAGAGACATTATGTTTGGGAGAGTAGAGGGACAGCGTAGGAGAGGAAGACCCTTGATGAGGTGGATTGATTCAGTGACTGGGGTTATGGGGGTAGGTGTGTTGGAGACAATAAGGTTGGCACAGTATAGAGCAGGGTTTAGGGCTGTTGTACAAAGGGTCACTATGAGTCATAGGCAACTTGATAGTACATAACAACAACAACATCCAGTACCTTGTTCTAAAGCAGCTAATCTGTTGCTGTTGTTATTGTTGTTGTGTGCAGCTGAGGCAGAATAAATTCACAGCTAGCCCTCAAGCAAGTTGTTTGATGCAGTAAATCACACCAGAGGAGAATGCCCATACTTCTCCTATGGAGCAACTGGTGAATTTGAACCATGTACCTTCATGATTGAAGTATATTCTGACCTTTAGGCCGCCAGAGCTCCCTGGTTAATCCATTGTTACTGTTGTTAGGCTCCGCCAAGTCAGAATAGACTCACAGTTGACCCTCCCACAGGTTTTTCAAAAGCAGTAAATGACACAGGAGGATTTTGCCCGTCTTTGTTCAGTAAGCTAATCCATTAGTATTTAACTAAATTACTAACAAATATTGGAAACCCATTACATTACAGCCCCAAAAGAATCAAAAATAACACTTAAAAAATTAACTTGGAAGTAAGAGTTATCTACAGCTGTGTTAACATCAAAGAGATCAACGGTATCTACATCTTTGCACTAAACACTATTACTAGGCTATGCCTTTAAGGAACTTTGAATTTGGTATCTTTTTTCTCTTTTACTCAAATATCTTGGTAGATATAAAACAATTCAATAAAGATGTAAATACACATATTTCCTATGGAAGTAAAAAATCTGAAAAGGAGACATGTATAACACAGCCCAGTAGTGCCAAGTTCTCCTCTCAGTAAAACAAACAAACAAAAAAAAATTAATTGTAATGAAAAAAGGCTCACCTATCACTAGGTGGACTATTTTCCTCTTGCAAATACTTCTGGGTATTTCGCTTTCGCACCTTTGGAACAACGTGCTTTCTGGCAAAATGCCTATCCTGTGGCTTTGAATCTTCCTGCGTCACAATATCTTCTATATCATCCAGGAGCGTGTCACAGGATGCAGAAGGCATGGTCTCTTTTTTAAAAAGTTACATAGAATAGTTACAAATTTTAAAAAGGTACAAATGTCACAAGCTTGAACTTCTCAAAAAATATGCTCAACACAGGTATATTTCTCATCACCGCGGGCAGAAGGAAGTGGCATGGTTTTCAAGTGCTTAAATAAAAGCCACCAACCAAAACCTTTAAACACAAAATTTCCTTAGGGAATAAAGAGAAAATCAACTCATTCCCAAATGAAGATAATTGACATTTTTTTCACCTAGAGACTTACTTACCCTAAAGAAAATTCTCCAAACAAAACAATGACATAAGAAATCTGGAACTCTAGGAAGAAAGCCCATGGTGAGCTACATGTAAGTAAGGAGATGCTCTTTCTGGAGTTTTCTAACCATGTTTCACGGTTGAACTAACCAGAAATGGTTCAACATATACATAGGAGAAATAGAATATAAGCTGGGTAGAGCAAAGAGACACAAAAGGACAGCTTCTTGTACTTGTAAAATGGTAACACCAGTAAAATGAGACTGGTAACTTTCATGGAATTAAGAAATACCTGGAGCAGTCACTAAAATGTTACAAGGAGATAAACTGTAAAAACACTAGAGATAATCTGGAAATAAGAAAAATTAAAGTAAACCACAGACTGGAGAAAAAAGAAAAAAAAAACAAAAAGAAAAAATAAAAGTGCTGACTTAAGTCTTAATAGATCAAAAAGTACATTACAGGTAAATGGACTAAAAACACTAATTAAACTATAGTAAAAGAAAAAATGGCACAACTACATGTTATCTGTAAGAAACTCAAATAAAATAAGTTGGAAAAAAAATTATTGGAAAAGGATATAACATTCAAATACTAATCAAAGGAAAGTCAGTCATTATGTTAATATCACATAAAGCAGACTTGACAATAAACAGAAATAACTATAAAGTAGAACAAAAGGGTTAATGTACCAAGAAGACACTACAAGCCTCAATGTGTATATATCCAACCACACAGCTAAAAAACGTGTAGCATATACGTTAGCGCTCACATAAAAGCTACATAAATTCAGTCGTATTTCCCTACCAACAACTGAGAAGAAAGCAATGACATAAAAATGCCGTAAAACCATCATCCAAAAGGTTCTAATCAAGTTATAGAACACTCCAGAAATTTACAGAGCATTCCAATACCAGAACATACATTTGTCTCAACTGCCCAGAGAACATATAGCAACAGATGAAAAACCTCAATATTTAAAAGAACTGGAATTACATAGAGTATCTTTTCAAATAAAATGGAACTGCACTAGAAATCAGTAACAGAAAAAGGACAGAGATGAAGAAAATATCCAAAAAGTTGAGGTTAAACACACTGCTAAATAACTCACAATTCAGAGACAATGTCAAGGCAGGAAAATGCAATTAGCCCCTTCCCCCTTTTAAAAATATATTAAAGTTTATGAAATACAGCTAACACAGTGCTAGGAAAGATAGCACCAAATGCATACAGTGGATAGCATAATTTATGCTCCTACCTCCAGAACCTAGGAAAAGAAGAGCAAATAATCCAAAATCGAGCAGAAGCAAAAATCAATGAAAATTAAAACAGAAAACAGAGAAAGAAAAATCAATTGAAATAGAGTTGATTTTTTTTTTAAATAGGGGGGAATCAATGAAAATATAATCAGAAAAATTACAGAGCGAAAGTAATGAAACAAAAAGATCTAATTCTTTGAAAAGCTCAAAGTGACATAGACTGACAGGAAAAATGAGAGCTGAATGAAACAGGCTATCACTGCAGATCCTGTCAAAACCAAAAACACCGAACCCACCACTGCGGAGTTAGTTCTGACTCACAGCAAAGCCTGGGCTTCCAAGAGGCTGTAAAGCTTAACAAGAGGAGAAACCCCATTACTCACTCGGAGTGGCCTTTTTTGTCAAATTGTTGACCTTCTGGTTAGCAGTTCAATCCACTTTACCACCAGGGCTACTGCAAACATAAAATAAATCAAGTTAGAGACTACTCTGAACAACACCAATCATACATTTGACAACACTGACAAAACTAATTCCTAAACAACCACAACTCATTGAATTTGAAAAGAGATGGCTTGAAGAGTTCTAAAACTACTAAAGAAATTGAATCTGAAATTTAAAACTTTCTTTCCAAAATAACAAAGAAGTCTCTTAAATCCAGATTGTTTCACTAATGAATTCAACCAAATATGTAAAAAATAGTCACTCTCCTGTGATGACAGACATACACATATACACACGCACAAGTGCATGAAACAAAATGTCTGGACATGCAGTCTGCCACCAACTGATTTCTTAACTAATTTGAATTATGTAACTAATCATATCTTGGCATATTTTGGCACCAAAGATTTCATGAAATTATTCCATTACAATGTTTTTCTTGGAGGCAAAATTAACATAGGTGACAGTTTAATTGGCATGGTTTTTTTTATTCTAGTGTCATCGTCAACTAAACTGCTACACATACTTTTATTTGTATTAAAAATAAATCCTATACAACCTCAAGAAAGGAGGAATACTTGCCGATTCATTTTTTTAAATTTTATTATTTTTTTGTGTGCGTGTACCATCAAATCAGATCTGACTGGTACAGGAGGAGATTGTCCCTCCTTCCCCGGCAGAGCATCTGGTGGATTCGAACCGTGCACCTCTGGGATTGTAGTTGCAGCTCCTTGCCACTAGGCCACCAGAGCTCCCCTTGCCGATTCATTTTAACAAAGCTAGCAACACCCTGATAGCATCCAAAACACCATTAAAACAAAACTACAGACTAAATGCACTGGCCAAGTGGAACTTCGCCAGAGATAACAATTGGATCAATAATCAAAATGTAAACCAACATATTAGCCGACTAAAGGAAAATCACATGATCATCGCATCACCTGACAGAAAACAGAATTGAAAGAACTTTGTTCCCAAAGAAAAAAGCGATCTGGTAGGGGCTTGGGGTGGGAGAGCAGGGAGGGAAATGTACAACAGTGAACAACTGGAAACCTAAGTTCTTATAAGCTTTCATTAAAATCTCAATTAAAAAAATTTTAAAAACCACCAGATTTGTTATTTGTGCTGTTGTTAGTCGTCACTGAGTGGAATATGACTCATAACAACCTCATGAACAACAGATCTGAGCCCTATCCTAACCTGTGCTGTCCTCATTATCGGTGACACACATGTCCCCATTGCTGCAGTCAGTGTGTAAAAAACAAAAACAAAAACAAAATTATATGTATATATATACACAGACACAGAGGCAAAGGGAGAATTCCTTCAACTTGAAAACAAACATTACAAAATACCTCAAGACTGGGAACAAGACAGCAATGTCTACTCTCACTTTTTTCATTCAAAATAACAGGGTAAGACAAAGAAAAAAAATGCTTACAAACTGGAAAGATTTCAAACTGTCCTTGTGTTCAAATAATACCTTTTAAAATTTATAAAATCCCTAAAGAATCTAGAAAAAATAAAAGTTTAGAATGAATGAGTTCAGGAAGAAACAATGTCACGGGCGTGGGGGGGGGGGGGTCAGGGGGATTGTATACTGCACTGAAACAGATGAGGGAGAGAACAGTTCAAAAGCAATATATGATAGGGTATTATGGAGTGTACGGGAATTGGGGTGGTCAGGGGGATTGTATACCAACCAAGTTTATCTTTTGCTTTTCAAAGAGAGGAGCGAACTGGGGATGGGGGGTAAAAAAAAATGAGCAACAATGAATGAATGAAAATCCAAAATCTCTGTAAATGTTCATTAAAATTAATAAAATTTTTTAAAAAATGTCACAGGTTATAAGACAAATAAAAAAATCAATCAAACCTCTACAAACTAGCCATTAACAAGTAGATACCAAAAGTCAAAATACCCTACCATATGTAAACAGCTTTAATTTGCTTGGCTCCACAATCAACACTCTTGGCACCAGCAGTCAGGATATTAAAAGATGTATTGCATTGGGAAAGTCTGCTGTCAGAGATCTCTCCAAAGTACTGAAGAGCAATACTGTCAGTCTGGAGACTAAAGTACACCTGATATAGACCATGGTCTTTGCAATCATTTGTTATGCATCAGAGAGCTGGACAATGACCAGGGATGATAGGAGAATTGACACCTTTGAACAGTGTTTTTGTGGATAGAGTATTGAAAATACCATGGACTGCGAACAGGTACATGCTGGAGAGGGTGAAACCAGGCTGCTCCTTGGAGGCAAAGATTCTAAAGCTTTGTCTGACATACTTTGGACATGTTGCAAGGAGGGACCAGTCCTTGGAGAGAGACATCATGCTTGGGAGGGTGGAAGGACAGAGCAGGAGAGGAAGACCCATGATGAGATGGATTGATTCAGTGACTGGGGTAATGGAGGTAGGTGTGTCAGAGACAAAGGATAGAGCAGGGCTTAGGGCTACTGTACATCGGGTTGCTATGAGTTGCAGGCAACTTGATGGCACATAACAACTACCACCACCACCATTTACAGCAGGTAAAGCAAATTAAGAATATACATCAGTATATATGAAATATATATAATAAAACATGTACTAGGCTTATGTATTAAAAATTATACAAGGAAAGAAATCAGAAATCTAAATAAATGAAAAGCCATACTATATTCATAGACAGTAAAGATGTCCATTCTCCACAAACAAAAACAGGTATTTAATAGAATTCAAATAAAAATCCAAGCAAGATTTCTTTTTGAGATCTAGACAAGATTCACCCATGAAGAAAGCACAAAGTCATTACAAAAGCAGAGGAGGAAGACAAGATGAATATCAGAAGAGACTCTGAACACGAAGAAAAATTAAGAAGTTAAAGAATTAAACAGATTTCACAGGACAGCTTTTGAAAACACCAAAGTCTTATAATGAAATGTGCAAAGTTACTCAGAAAGTCAAAAAGGAAGAACAATCTTGCCATTTCTCAGGATGAAGGAACTGAAGAACAAATTCAACCCACAAATTGCAATACTTAAAGACGCTATGGGCAAAATATTG